CATTGTACAGTGGCATTAAGTACCGTAATGTGCACCTCTGCCTACCCCTTGAGGGATAAAAAGGCATGATGATGTTAAAAATAAAACTGTTTCAATGAAACAAACCTTATTGGGAGAAAAATGTCGAACAGTGGACGATTACGGACTGATTGTAGTGAGCATCAATTTATTTATTTATGTTAAAATAGTCATTTAACTAAGAGATTATACATTTCAAATAATGATAAAGAAAGGCAAAAAATAATGATATTTCTCAATAGACCAATTGTACAGATGGTACAAAAATATAAAATTAAGAATAAACCTTTAAACTATGACATGTTTTAAGAGTAGATTATAACCAATATAGCCAACAAAATATGTACTAGACATTACAAAATAAAATAAAGTTATGTATTCATTCATATTTCTTTTCTTTCTATAATTCAAGGTGGTCCTTGAGACAAAGGTATTTAAAAAACTATTGTGGCAAAGTTTTCTGTAATAAATACAATAATTACGCCAGTTGTTAGTCACTACATGGATGATGGAACAGATAAACAAAGATTAGTTAGATTTTTGTATTCCATGTAATATATGACTTCATATATGTCCCACATATTTATTAAGGACAATCATTAATAAATCAGTATCAAGTCCTAATTACGTGGTACCTAATTAAATTATTAACATTTTATTATTTCCGTAACACATAGTATATCTGACTAATATAAGAATTTATATTTACATAATGGGGATGATGACAGGGTATGAAAATTAAAAATATAATTAGTCCGTAACTTAGGTAATAAAAAAATATTAGACACGTATTTTTTTATTTTGTTGTATAATAAAACAATACTTAGATAAAACGAATCAAAGTTTAGGAGTGGGGGCTAAAACGTCATTTCTTAGTATAAAATGTACTGAGAAGTGACGTCACGCGACATTTCAAATCAATATATCTTCGAAACTATTCGTTTCCGTAAGAAAATAAAAAATACGTGTCTAATGTTTTTAAATAATCTACCAGACGGACATTAAAATAAAAATTAGTCGTCTACCCTATTAAATACTTAAATGATGTATATATTATTACATTTTTATTGATACATTTGCAATTTGCATAGCTTATTGCAAACAAATACGTAAGTCGAGATTCGTTTAACATGGAGTTATGAACTAGCCATCCTTGGCGCATAAATATGTATGGAAACGCGTAAAGCGTTAAACTTGTGTTTCGGTAAAATGTATGGTTTAAGATAATATAATAAGGCAGGGCCAATTCCCTAATAAGATAAAAAAAAACTGCATACTTACATAATTATATATATATATGTATGTATATTATAAAAAAAGCTGTGTGCATCATAAAAACTAAATGTTTTTTTAGATGTTTATAAATCTAAACGATATTAATTTAATTAATGTAAATTGTAAATAAATACGATGAGCTAATGTAAATTATTGTTATTCGGATATGGTATAGCGATTCTGATTCGGAAGTGTTAAAATAAATTAATAATTTACTAAGTAATACCATAAAAACTATTAAATAATGTTTTCAAAGTCGTATGTATAATAATATCGGCAAAATAAAATACAAAAAGAAAATCGCGACCCTGCCAGGATTCGAACCTGGAATCTTCTGATCCGTAGTCAGACGCGTTATCCATTGCGCCACAGGGCCTGTGAGAACACTGTTGAAAATAGCAACCATATATTTGCAAATATTTTATTGAACAAAAGGGAGTCTGTATTTTATTCTAATTGCCTTTCTTTCACTTCTTGTGAGAAGGATTTCGTTTTGAAATAAATTTTCTATTCATAGGTATCTGACGTACCAACGAGAACGTATTTTACACCTACGCAATGAACTAAAATAAAATTAATGGGTGTGAGGCGACCCTCCTATAGAAATACCTACAACACGTACACCTATTTTATAGTAGGTAAGTCCGTACGTATATAGCATATTTTGCACGAGCCGGCCGACTCAGGGGACGCAGGGTCTTGCGGCGGCCATATTTCATTTTTCCCGCCATCCGGGGAGTCATCCGCCATTTTCATTCTTGCATCAAAACGTATCTACAAAGTTTTTATATTTTCCTTTGTGTTTTTTGTGTCTTCGCGATATTTCAAGGAAATCTGTCGTGGCGTAATTTCATGTATATGTATGTATGAATGTATACTACCGACGACCTAGATAGATATTGGTACAAAATTAAATATTAATATTTTTTGTAACACCTTAACAATTTCGAATTGTTGAGAACTTTATTATACTTCTTTGTTCTTTACTCTTTGTTCTAAATAATGATTCTACCGCGAGGGACTCATCCATTGTATTCCGTCTGTATAAATTGGAGTCTTACTAAAAGTTGTTTATTTAATCAAATTCCTAGGTTCATTCATTTCCTCGACCCACGCACATCCACCGCAGATCTGTATTTCACGAACATCGAGCGAAGTGTACCGTGGCGACGTGGCCGAACCCAGTTAGTTTCATCGAGGTCATTGTAGAAAAAAGCTTTATAACACAGTAAAAATTTATGTTAGCCTCATATTAGGGTCAAGCGGTATTGAAAAACGGTCTTTTTCACCGATATTCTTCTACGATGAAGATTCCTCGCGAATGTTTTGTAGAGGAATTTTATGAGGTTCTGGTGTTTTCCTATGGGGTCCATGTTATTTATCGTTTGTATTGTTCAAACAGACGTTTTTTTGGGGAGACCGGCTGGGCTTTCCCGTTTTTGGTCCTCCCATTTTGTTTTATGATGAGTAAACAGAGGGGGCGTGTGTATGAATTACTTATTGATTCTATTAAGCGTGAATGATGCAGTAGATAATGTAGAATGAACTGTCCATTGCTTTAACGCCAACTAGGTAAACACAATGTGACTTGAATATATCAATGTTAGAACGATTGCACCATACGGAATACGTATTTGGGGGAACGACGTCGTAAAAGAGAAGAATTACTTGTGAGCGTATATGACAGTGACGTCACGGCTGTTAGAGTCCATAATGACGCGATTTGCGCGATTGTCGACAATAAGCTAGCAGTTGCAAGTTTTATGGTTCCATCTGCAATGCAGGGCGGTGGCAGTGTACGGAACCAACCGCTAGGCCGCTTCCATTGCATATCAATATAATTGATTACCCTACCATTACAAGAGCTGCGACGCAAAATATTTTTAATCAATAACATATGTACATAGTTAGATATGTTAAACCATGCATAAAGTGTATTAAATTCGAGTAATCAAACTGTAGGTGTATAAAAACAGGAATTTCAAATAAGTAGGTATGCGATTCCTTCAACTAACAAGATACAAAATGCTTAGCGTTTCCTGTAAAATGTTCTAATTGGACCATATTAAATTCTCGCGGATCCGTGTCGGAGGGTGTCGCCTGCCTTCGCAAATTAAACTTAACGGTATTTAATTTTAGATACTAAAACAGCTTGTAGATTAAAATCACTGCCAGTAACTGGAAGATTCCTAGAAAACCACAAATTGTACCTGATTTAACACAAATTAACGAATCTAAATTCTCGAATTCTAAGCACTTCCAGTAAATAATTCAAATTAGTAAGTAGCTAAAACCTTTCATGTCTTAGCAAAATCCATTAGAAATTAAACTTAAAGGCCTTGACTTAAAAACCTTGGTATGTAAAATATCACATCGGGAACATGGCACGTGTACAAAATTATATACGATATTCAGAATACTGAAAAGTTGGTACTGATCGGCTTTAATATTTCAGACAGGCGGGCAGCGTGAAATATTGAATAAAAGTATTGATTTAGATATATGAACGGAATAAGCTTAGAAATATCGGTCCTTGTAAAGGTTTCCGCACAAAATGATCATTCTTGGCGTCTATCCATTCAATGTTAAACTGTTAAGTCATTTAATTCTCCTGGGACTCGGATACTTGGGACAACTTTTTAGAAAGTTCTTCTAATTGACTCAAAGACAAACAACTTCTGTTAGTCAAGACTTCAGCGACAATTGCCTCCCTCGTATACTTGTTGCTGTTTTACTTAGATGATACTTAACATCTTGTTTCCAGGAAAGCCTACAAAAAACTCGGCCACCACTCGGCACTCTTGTTATTTTCATTTCCTCGCGGCGATTAATTTAATGTCGGCGAATCTGTTGCTTATTCCAATTTCCAACATTACAAAGTTAGCAATTTATTTCACTTTAAAACATTTCTGTTGCTATAGCCTTTTGTGCCGAAAAACGTCAGCGTTAGTCTCAGCAGAAGTATTTAAATAGGTGGAATTGAACGCAGTCAATTAAATCAATGGTTTGCATTGTCTTGAAGCAACTTTCAGTGAAAATAATGGCAGTCAGTGGACTGTAAAAAGAAACGAAGTCCGTGTTTTTGTTATAGTTACTTCCGCTACTGAACACCAATGAACCGGTTTTCCTTGACTTGCAATTTTATTAAAACAACTCGAACTCGGATCCACGGATCTTTCTTAAAAACTTTCGTCCCAAGTTACTTAACAGTTTGTCTTGCTAGTCACGAAAGGTCGGACCCTCACAAATATTCAAGAAAATGATAATCGATACACCCCTTCCTTCAAATTATCGAAACAAACAGGCCTGGGACCTTTCCGGGTCGGAATTCAGACTACACTAACACCATTTATGTATGACACCGGACTTGACCGAACCTAACACCTACAATTTAGGGTTTCCGTGTGACTTGAATTCGCTATAACTCCGTATAATACTTAAACAGATACGGTTCAACGGTTTTCTTCTAGATTGGACTGTAGTTACATGTCAAGTAAGCTAAATATTACTTCCTTGTGTTTTTTTATGTCATATCGCCTTAAATGGATAATTCACTTCAAAAACAGATTATAAACAAGAACATCTAGGCCACATGTTCCCTGGTTGTACAATGTTGAATATTATGCTGTTAAATTAAATATTCTTTCAAAACCGCGAGGAAGGGCTGCAATAGCCAGATAACAAGCTAAACCCAAATGCTCGCTTTTTCAATTTGGCCGTGGTAGTGGAAAGAATAAAAAACAAAGGTATTTACTTAATCAGTGTATTATGCCGAGCTGCCAGAGTAACCGGCAACATGCAAGCGAACTTCCCTGGCTCAGCGCCAACTAATGCATGAACATGTTTATACTTTCCCGTGTTCGGGAGAAATTCCAGGCGCCGCTGGTTGGTTGGCTTTGACCGCAGGCAAAGGCCGTGTTATCAGCGTTCTACTTGTTTTATTAAATGCAACGTGCACTTATGCAACGTCCGGTTTTTGGGTCTCTCTCCAAAAATGCTGGTCATTTCCTTTTAGGATGTGAAGATAAAGTAGGCCAGTAGATTAACTTTGCCTTAATTTTTGTTTGGCACTGCTTTTGGGGTAACAGGACTACGAAATTCGCCATTCGAGGTATTGGTGAGATGTGACATTTACTACTTATTATGATTCACATTGTGAATCCGATGTTTATTAATGCCATTACGTGTCTTTAATGAAAGTTGTGCTCTTACAACGCAACGTCTTTTACACTTGATGTAATATTTTTTCTCATTTTAATGATGCCTGGTTCTGCGAATACACGATAAAGACATTATGTAGTAAACTAGTTGCATATCACTGCTGACAAAAAATTGGCTTTAAGAGCGAACATTGAAAAACTATGTAAATGAGAAAACTTGTGTGGCGCAGTGCACAATGACTACAGTCGATAAAAACGCTTTGACATTCAAGGTTTCTATCACGGATCACAATAAAAAAAAACTGAATTCAATTCCATTCCTCATATTCTTGACATTTCAATTTGTTAATCCATTGTTATGTACCATTTATTTGTAAATGACGTTCTTATTACTGGGACCTATTCGAGATAACAATGGGCGATGGAGCAATGGAGCTGTGGCTCAGTGGGGCTCGCTCCCGACCAGATAATCACGTTTAACGGCAAATAGAGTTTGTGCTCTCTAGAGGAACACTCACGACTGTATACGCCATTGCTGGTATAATAGAATAATAGATTAGTGCACGAGGTTGTAATGATCACATCGGTTCGACATTCACCCACTTTTGATGGTTATTGGCTGTTGTTGCCCCAGTTTTGAACATTAGTCCAGATTTTATGAGTCTCTTTATGTTTAATATTTGACCTACAAGTCAATGTTTCTAGAATTTTGTCTCTTCGTCTACGTTTAGAAGCTTATAAATGACCCAAAAACCTGTATAATAGATCTTGGCAAAAACAGAATGACAAAAAAATTACTGGGAAATTGAAGAAGTAAGCCTTTTTACCAAATCTGCCTTGGGATTCAGATTCAAACAGATTTATCTAAATTTGGTAGTCATTACGCCAACGAGGCAATGTCGAATATTCTTACGTAAGTAAATATTTAGTAATTTTGTTGCTTAAATTAGGGTAAGAAGATTTTGCGCGTGTGGTTCTGGGATCCTCTTGAAGGGAATTTTCATGATCATAAATCAACCAATTACTGTTTTGGGAATATTTCCAATTTCCTCAGTATCAATCAGGCGTATTCCCTCGGGGTTCTAAATCATAGACGGGAAATATTATTGGCGGAAATGTAAATTATTTTTCCTCAGATATGTTTCGTAGATAATGTATCTACTAAAAATAGCTAACAACGTTATGTACGAGTATGTAACTGTTTTCGGCATTTTGATTTATTCATTTCGCTATCTATCTCTTTATGTATCAAATCTGTTCGACTGTTCTTGGTAAAACTAAACAAGAAAACCACAGTAAGTGAAGACTGAAAACTGAAACTGTTTGTTAGGCCGCCTTTGTCATTTTTTCTTCTTTGACTTTTGTTATTTTTTAACAAGAACCTCTGGACATAAGAAATGTCGAAGTAAGTCGACAATTTCCTTAAGAAAAAATTGTTCTTACACTTTTTGTAAAACTAGTGCCCTTTTTCGACCTTTGGGAGCATTTTGTGAGCAAATTGTGATCATTGAGTACCAGAAGGACCACCAATAACATTTTAGTGGTCCATTTAATATAGCATCAGTTTGTTGTCTTGTCTCGTTTCTGAATTTGTTTTTTTTTTTGTAGTCATAAATAAAGGTAATACAAATTCATGATGTTGATGCCTATTATAGAGTAGCAGTTTAACGGTATGGTATGTTATAGGGAAGACAGTAAAATATATTTCAACTGATCATCTGAAGAAATTCAAAATCCAACAATACTACGTAATTTATCTAACTTGCGAAAGAGGAACCGAATCCTCTTGATGTTCTGAACAAGAAGTATCATCCACAATCAACAACGAAAGCATATAATTATGAACACAAACTCTTCCGTGAAGTTATTTTTATCTGACCTCCATTTCCTCATATTTCATATCGGAATCACCCAGCCTTTGATCTGCAGTTACATCTTTGTTAATATTAATAGTTGCTCTTTTGACATCCAATAACCTAGGAAAGCAAGGGTTCCCAACCTTTTCTTGGACAAAGACCACTTTTATATCGTTCTTATTAGGTAAGGGACCTCTATTACTATTAATCTTTTTTTGTATGTCGTATGGGGGTCCACTAAGATTCTCCAAGGTCGTGGTGTTCATTCTTGTAAAAATAGGGACTTTTGGATTGTTGAAATCTGTTTCACCGCTTAATTGTCTCCTTTGATATGAGTTTAACTCGAGCTTAAAACCGTGGTATTTAGTGGACACAGGTATTATCCATGATTTCTGTATTTTTTTTCATTTTGGGGTTCATATTTTGACCTCTGAGGAGCACTGGTGGTCCACGAACCCTCGGTTGGGAACCACTGCTTTAAAAGGGACCGAGTGGACCAAGGGTAACTATTTCGGTAACAATCGACTTTGGTCGAGGGAATTTAATATTCCTCTTTGCTGGTTCGACATAACGGGAGGGTATTTTGTAGAAAGATATCTCTGGAGATTATATGTGGTATTTGAGGATATAAGAAAATGTTGTACTTTAGGATAAGTCCTTTTTTCTTTGTGTAATATAGTTTTTGTTCTTAGACACGAATCTTTTGCTTTTGTCTGTACTAGTCTTATTGGCCCTCTTCCGTATTCAACATGTTTACGAGATAATATTTATAAATAAAGCAAATTAAAATAAAACAAGAATTGACCTTTTCAGGAAAATCCTACAACGTTAACTAAAAGGAAAACATATACAAAATTGATGACTTATTCCTCTAATTTATCATTATGTATAACGGAAACAAGAACAGCCCACGCGAAGAATTTCACGCAAATCCCGGCAATTACGTGCAAATTCAGAATAATTTCCATAAAAACGAGGCTCTTGTGAAAATACCTAAAACCAATTGTGAATTTGTTTATTATGAAAATCCAAGGAGCCGTTACAAACACGTGTCTCTGGCGTCGACCTTGTTGTTAATTGCGCGGTCGCTTGTTAATTTGAGCTTTATGTTCAAGGAGTAAGGTCGATGACAATGGTCATGTTTGCATTAACCTTTTGACCGATTGCAGCGATAATGCGTCACGAACAAAACACTTTAAAGTAATTTTCACATGGCGTCGACTGTTAGTCAGTAGTCAGGTCACCTCGCTTCATAACAAAGTAAAAATGTCACTCGAGTACTTCTCGATGTAAATTATTTATATTTTTCGCTGTAAAATATGTATTGCGGTACTTTTTACGGAGTGTATAAACCGCATTGCTACAATATGAAATAACCGCAAATTAGTACTGCAAAGTAAGCTGTCACAACATAAAACTTTTGATTTATGTCGCTTGTCGTATGAAAGAGTGAAAGAAAATGAATTTGTTCATTAGCTTAAGTTACAGCACTGAGGTACAGCAATATGGTGTAGAAAGTATTTAAGGAGAACGCAGGTAACAGGTTTTTGTTTTATTATACAGTGTGACTCACTCAATGCAAATCAGAAACGTGCGCTAGATCATATCTACATCCACACGTTGTTTCACAAGACATCCCACGTGCATGCATATTCCTAAATAGGCATTCTCCGTCACTACAGGACGAGTTACGACTTACGACTACAACCTTCTTTAAGAATAGGGATTAAAATTCAACTGATAGCAGTTTCAACCGAACCAGCAGTTCCAAATTATCTTGTCCAAACAAGCAAACAATAAACTTTTACTTTATAATATTACAAACTTTTCTTTGTTTAGCCATCCTCGTATAACTTTTCAAAAACTTACTAAATCATACACCTACTTGTATCGCCACAACCTACGCTTTTTATACTCAATCTCGTCTAACACTCGGCAAGAGATCCTGTCATCTCCACATCTTGTCAAGTATACACTCCCACTCCATTTTCAGTGGAAAACAAAAATCATTTACGCTTTCTTTCTTTTATACAAACATTTACCAATCTCCTCGTATAAAAACAGCGATCAATATCACGAACACATACATAAAGTTTACCTAACAAAAATGTTTATAAATCAGCTTTGAATTGTGAACTCCATCTGAACTTTGGGTGGCTATGACCGCAGTCACCTTAACATCCTTGAACCCAGTCAAGTAATCAACGCTGGAAAATCTTAATACATTCTGTTTACTGTTTTTTACATTTTGTACCCGAAGATTTATTGAAAGGGTTGGATGGACTCACGCGAGGTCTGAGCGACTTAAGGGTATCAATATCAAAGGAAGGTTCGTTAAACAATTTTAACGAAGCTGTAATAGAGATGTCTCTGGCGTCTCATTATGCAGTACGGAGACAATGTATCGGGAGCCATATTGAAACCTCTGACCACAAGTTTCTTAGTGAAATTGTATCTCCTTTGTCACAGACATAAACATTAATCTGCATTGTTTATTTAAAATACCTATACGAAGGATTATGTTGCCGATTTACGTTCTTGTAACCATTGATCATGTGGATACTAATCTTTTTTCTAAAACCAGACTCGAATGTATTTGTGTGGTTTCATAGATATTAAGTATCCGAAGCCATCGGCTGCAAGTGCACGGAATATTGAATTCAATTTCAAAGTGCACTTCGCTAAATTTGGTGATGTAGTTGTTTACGTAACCTTCAATATGGAAAAATTTTCAAGCGAAAATGTGATTTCTGCAGCGTCTTTTGAAATGGTGCGAGAAACGTTAAGTAGATTGACTTTAAAATGGAAATATTACAATTTTTATGCGACTACAATGCTGCCTGCTGGTTCATTTGCGCAACGAAAAGTTCTGCATTTAGTAGTTTTTAGAGGGTTGCAAGCAAACTAAATGTGTTTAAAGATAAATATGTAGTATGGTAATTAATTTCCATATTTTATCCTTAAGTGGCTATTTCCATCTAGCACAAGTGAGGTCTTATAATGATAGACATAACCATATTTTTCCTTGTGTTAAATCCTTGAAAACGATGTTAAGTGTTAGGTTAGCGACTTTCACTGGTTAACTGAACCCTATTGTTTGTATTTTTAGGTCACAAGTAACTTTCACAAGACAATGAGCACAGTAAATGGCTAATAAATTTTCGCAGTGACTTCCTTTTGGTTTCAGCATTTGGTAGGTAGGTACATTATTGTTGAAGTAGGTCGCTGTAAACACTTCTTCTATTGAAATAAACGACTATCATGTTAAACAGCAATATATTTTTAATACTTTTACATCCTTTGTCCCATAATGGCCCTATATTGTATCCCAAAACCCATAATAAAGAAAGATACTTTTAAACAATAAATATACAGCGTCACTCATTTAATCCCTCATCCAGGTGTCGTTGATATATTCGAGGATCACAAACTCTGTAAAAGACCCATCAAAAATGTTTCGGAAACTGTCCTATAAATACAAACTTGCTCCGGTAACCGCAACTTAAGTAAATGAAGCCATTATTTCATTGACGATACTTTTGACAGGTCATCTGTACTGGACAGCTGAGGGGTTCCTTCGCGTGGCACGATTGTGCCGACTTGGGGATCGATAAACATGTGTCAAGTTCACACAAAGCAGTGAATGTTTCTCGGAATCCTTGCTTTTATGGGTCGGTACTTCGGTAGCTAATTGATGTGACGTAGGCCTGAGCTCCAGGACCTTTTTCTAGCGCACAAACTTACGACTGCCGCAACTACTCGATCAATACACACTATGTCAAGTTCACCACGTAACCCGAGCACAGCATTGGTTTCGGCGAATTAATTTTACTGCGGTTCACAGTTGATTAGATCCGTTGTGATTTCTAGGTCGTCGGTTTACAAATGTATTCTATTGAGACATTCCGATACATGTGTATTGATTTCATTGAGGTTAATTCTGTTGTTGTACTTTTAGCGGCATTAAATATGTAGGAATGACCATCCGAGACTACAAACAAGACATGTTCTAAAACTCTTCTCTTCTTTGTAAACAGTACGGTATTTTTATGGATCCTGTCTGGCCATTTACAAAGTTGATGATGACATTCAGGATTTGCATTTGATACTCAGATTTGTGTAGCCTTCATAAGATGTTCCTATCCTTAAAAGTAGCAGTAACTCAATACGGTTTCGACTTGTGAACAATACGCCAAATATCTAATCTTCTAGATTCTTCTGAACATATACCCCATCAAAGTATCACGTTTATACACGTTTATACACGTACGGTTTATAACAGAAGTAGGACTTAATAGAGACACCTACACCTGGTCCCACGACACCCACGAACAATATTAATAACAAAACAACGTCAACTAGGTTAAGTTGGCGATCAATAAACACATGTCAAGTTCACGTGCTCACACTCTCATTTAACATGAAAAGACATTATTATAGTTTCAATGTTTAATGGTATTATTATCCATGTAATAATGCCTTTAGTAATAATAGTGTTTATATTGCTGTAAAGAAGCCATGTCAAAATAATTGACACGAGAATAGGTTTGGGTTTCCTTTCCATCATGATTGGTATATAGATGTAGTTAGTTCTGAAAGACCACAAATAAAAAAGACGAGAAAATCTACAAAGAAGATCAAAGTTGCACGAAGCAAAGTTCATTAAAAACCAACTAGCATCCCGTCATCATTATTCTAGAAAAAATCGATAAGTATCAACTTTGTCCCGCTGGGCTGCCGCACGTCTTACCCTGGACGCTGAGCCCCTCCCACTGAAATTATAATGAACGGAGCCCCGTCACCGTGGTGGCTTAAATATACTGTTTCACGAAACCGCCCCGACTTGATAGACTAAAACTTTTCGGATGGGTTTTTTCACGAGTTCCGTGCAAAATAATTTAAATTAACTATGCAAACAAGCTGGAGTACTTTTTTCATTTTTTTGTTCCAAAAATAAACACATAAATGTCAAGTTGATGTGCAATTATTTGGTATGTTTTGGGAGTTTTATTATGCAGGTGAATCTTCTAAGAATAATCTTACTGCATTGTTTATTTGAATGGGGTATACAGCTTGTACAATAACTGCACCTCAATAAAACTTAAGAATGGAAAGAAACCATCTTTCTACGAAAAGATATAGGTAGATTTCATACACTTTTTTTCAAAGAAATACACTTGAACATTCATTGTTGGTTCGTCTATTTAATGAAACGTGTATTGCAACGTAAAATGGAAACAATAAATCATTAATGAATGTTGAATAA